ATTAATTCAACTATTGCTTTGTCATCTGCTTCTGTGTCAACGCTTGGGCTGCTTCTCCTAATTTATGTAATGGCTCTACTGCCACAACGCCTTCACTTTGTACTAGTACTACTCCCACACAGTCTGTTCCGATGGATGCGAACACTGTTAATCCAGCACCTGCTTCTACGCAGCAACCTAATGATTGGAAAATGGTGTCTAAGAGCCGTCGTCCAAAGCTTACGAAGCCTTTAATTATTGGTTCTAATAATAACAAGGAATTAAGTGTTATTTCTCAACAGAAATGGCTCCATGTGGCCTCATTTTCTACTAATGTCACAGCAGCGAACATCATCAGTTACGTATCCAAACATGCTGATATTGATGCCAAATTTCTGAACTGCTACTTGCGTATAAAAAAGGATGCCAATCTTGATGAATTGAGAAAAGTTAATTTTAAATTAGGAGTTTCTGAGTGTTTCAATGATAAATTGCTGAATGCTGATATCTGGCCTGCGAACGTTAAGATTCGACCATTTTGGTTTTTTCCTAAGGGCGATGCACCAGAACTAAATCCTTAGATGCTCTTGCTCCAGCAAGTTTTCATTTGAAGCATCTCAAGATCTATTTTCAAAATGTTTCCGGCCTGCGGACAAAATCAAACTCACTTTTGAATATGAGCTCGCATACGGATTATGATATCTTTGTCCTTATCGAAACATGGTTGACCTCGGAATTTAATGACGGTGTATTCTTAGACTCCAACTTGTATACTGTGTATCGCAAAGATCGGGACTATTCTAAAACTGGTCTCTCGAGAGTAGTTCTCATTGCAGGTTTCACCGCCGGTTTCGCTCATCGTTTGTGAGTCTGAGCAATACGGATTCCCTTTTAGATCAACTCTGTGTCTCGATACAAGGCATCTCCAAATTACTTATCTGCGCATCATACATTCCTCCGTCTAGCGCGGACTCACTTTATAAAGCGCATGTGGACAACATAGTCGATATAGCTCGCAGTCACGATGGTGTTAATTTCTGTATTCTCGGAGATTTAAATTTACGGAATGTGGAATGGTAATTTATAGGTGACACTTTACTTCCAAAAAATGTGAACAGTTTCTCGGAGTCATATGTTATTGATAATTTGTTAAGCGTTAATTTTGCTCAGATAAATAGCTTCTCTAATAAGTTAGCCAGAACTTTAGATTTAAATTTTATTAATGACAATATGAATTTTGTTTTAAATGAGTGTCTTGATCCGCTTTCGTGTCCCGGTTTACTTCACGTTCCTCTTATTCTTGATCTTCAATTCTATAACTATGAGAGTATTTGTACGGATAATCAAGCTCCTAGTTTCAATTTTAATCGTTGCAATTTTGACGTTGTCAATCAAGAAATTTCAAAAATAACAAAGTACAAAAATGAACAAAGTACAATAGTAAATAGTATTAACACTACAATACTGAGTGAAGAACAACATTTAAAGGATCTACGGGTACTTTTCGAACGTTTGTCTGAGTATGGTTTGAACGTCAAACCAAGCAAATGCATTTTTGGTGTTCCAAGTATAGATTTCTTAGGACATTGTTTATCTGAGGCAGGGATACAGCCTTCTGTAAACAGAGTAGAAGCGATTCGCAATTTTGAACGACCGAAGTCAATAAAACAAGCGCAAAAGTTTATTGGTATGGTTAACTATTACCATAGATATATTGCAAAATTAGCTGAGTTTACTGGAGTTATATATGATTTAATTAATAAAACAAGTAAAAAGCGAGACAAAATTTTGGTTTGGGATGACAAATCCATTAAAGCTTTTGAATGCAATAAAGAGAAGTTTGCATCTAAGATTTTGCTAAATCATTTTAGTAAAGATGCAAAATTGTCTTTAACGGNACGGTAGATGCATCCAATACAGCAATTGGTGGTGTCATACAGCAGCATTTCAATAATAAGTCTGAACCACTTGCGTTCTTTTCAAAGAAACTCTCTCCAGCAGAAATGAAATATAGTGCTTTTGACAGGGAACTTTTAGCAATTTATTTGAATATTAAACATTTTCGGTATTTATTAGAAGAAAGACAGTTTACGGTTTTTACTGACCACAAACCCTTGATTTTTGTCCTAAATTCCAAAACTGAGCGCAGTCCAAGACAGACAAGGCATCTTGAGTTTACTGCACAGTTTACTAGTGACATACAGTTTATTAAAGTACAGACCAACATTGTAGCTGACACGTTATCTCGTGCGTTTGAAATAGAT